CCTCATTTTAAGGGAGATGCAGATCAAAACCACAATGAGATACCACCTAACCTCAGTCAGAATGACGAAGATTAAAAAAACAGTGCTAGAGAGGCTGTGATCAAAGGGGGACACTCCTACCCTGTTCGTGGGAATATAAATTGGTCCAGTCACTGTGGAGAATGATATGGAGGTTCCTCAAAGGCCTTCAAATAGAACTACCATATGACCCAGCAATTCCACTCTTGGGTATCTAGCCAAAGGACAGGAGAGCACTCAGTTGAAAAAGTGCTTGCACAACTGTTTTCATTGCAGTATTACTCACTATTGCTAAGACATGGAACCAACCCAAATGTCCACAAACAGATGAATGGATTGAAAAATTATGACACATACACTCCATGGAATACTAATCAGCCACAAAAAAGAGACCCTGGTATTGAACGTGGATGAATATGGAAGATTTGTTTCTGAGTGAAGCAAGTCAGGCTATGAAAGAGAGACATTGTATGTCTATACTTAACATATACCGACTGTCAGTACTCTATGGTAGAGACGGAAAGACTGGAGAACATAAAAGGATTAAAAATTGTAACATACTAGAGAGAAAGTGGAAAGACAGCGTGGGAGGGGAAGAGCATAAGAAAGGAAATTTGGGGGGGTAAATGGAAAGGTAAGACACTTGTGGGACACAGGTAAGGTTTTTTATCTGCTGATGATGATATGTATAATAGTCTCAACTGGGCTGGACTGAAGTGTATTTCATGCTGAGTAAAGTTTCTTCAAAATCTAAATGGTGTATTGTAACTTAATGTATAAATAATAATTTAAAAATTAATTTAAAAAGAAGGAAAAAAGAAAATCCATTTTGTACCCCACAAAGTTGTAATATATTAAATGTAAATGAGAAATTACAATATAAAATAGGAAAAAGTATTAAGAAGTTGTATCATTCAGTGCTTTTCTTCATAGTCATACAATTACGTGTAAACATAATGTTGGTTCTTAAGCGCTCCTCACTCCGCTTCAACCTCAGCTCTGGGAATGTTGGAACTCTGCAAACCACATTTCTCCTTTGTTCTCTGGCTTCCTGTTAGGCTTTTTGTTGGTTTCCAGTTTGCTAGCAGATCCTATGAATATCTGCTGAACGACGCTTTTTCACTCTCTTGCTACTGTCCGTAGCCATAGCTAGATCCAGCTTACAGTTTCCCCAAGGACTATAGAACCAGGTTCATCACACCCTCTCAGAGACATCAGCTCCCCCTCTGAGACCTGGAGCCCAAGCCCCTAGGTTCCCTCCTCTGAGCTGAGTTATCTTACCTGTCAAGTAGAACCCTCTTTTCAGAAGTTTCAATATTTCTTCATTCAAGTAACTGCTATGATTTCTGTTCTCTAATTAGACATTGACCAACAGAGATATACATGTTGGAATTTTTTCTTCTTATTTGTGTATGTATTTATTTACAATAAATGGGATTATATCCACTTACAAAAAGAATATTATCAGAATTACAGGAAAGAGGACACAAATGGCTCCTCAACACATGAAAGCTTCTCATTTCACTCATAAGAAAAATATACATTTAAACTATGAAATCCTATGAAATACATTTAAACTATGAAATCAGTTTAGCAATTTAGCAAAGTTCAATAACACACTGTTATCAAATGTATGAGGAAGTGTGCTTTCAAACATTGCCGGTAAAAGGATAACTTACTAGCAAAGAGGGAAATTTGGCATTATCCAGCAACAATAGAAATGCATAGAGCCAGCAGATGGAATGGAAGTAAGAAGGCTGTATCCCACATTGCTGACTGAAAGGTTCGAGTCTTGAACCCGGCAGTCTGAAACTCACTCTAGACATGTGAGTGTGTGGGACTAAATTCCAAGAGGAGAATGGAGGAGAAAGGATTGAGGTGTAGCCCCTCTCCCTGGGGGTATGGGGGGTGGTGAGTTCTCACTTTCCATTCCTTTCTCTCTCTGTCTTTCTCTGGTGAGAACATGCCCCCTAAAGCAAAAGGAAAAACAATTCATATAACATACTGGCTCCCTAGTATAGCAATAATTTTTTGTTCAAAAGAAGTCGGATCCCAGGAACCAGCAGTTAGCGTAATGGCTATGTCGCTGGACTCCCACGTAGTCGACCGCAGTTCACGTCCCGGACGCGGTGGCTTAAAACTCACGCCGGGCACGTGTGTGTGCGTGCCCAAGATCCCGAGAGGAGAACGGAGGAGAAGGGATTGCAGCTTGACCATCCCCTCTGGGGGGTGATTTCTCGCTTTCTGTCTCTCTTGTCTCTCTGTCTGTCTGGCGAGCGCACGCGCCCTATAGCAAAAACCTCTCCCAAATAAATAAATAAATAAATAAATAAATAAATAAATAAATAAAAGAAGTTGGATCCCACAAGGCAACCACAGCATGACTCTCCAGCCAGGTCAGCCTGAACATGCTAGGCACGTGTGAGAGTGCCTAAGATCTGACAGGCTGGAGAACTGGAGGAAGGGGATCATGGCATGACCAGATTCTGTGAAGGGTATTCATCTCTCTCTCTCTCTCTCACTTTCTCACTTTGATGCATGCATACATGTGAACGCGCATGAATAAAGATAAATATTTTAAAAATACATACAGCTCTTGACTCAGCAACTTGATTCAATGGATATGAGAGAATTCTTAAATTTTTGTGGAAAAACGGAATTAAAGTATGAGTTTAGGGCCAGATCCACGTCCTAGTGGTTAAGGTAGCTGGATCCCAAATGGCCGACCATGCAATTCAAATCCTGCTTCCAGCAGCTTGAGAGACACAACAGGTACATGTGCATCCAAGACAAAAATCCTAACAGAGTGGAAAAGGGGGAGAGAAGGATTGTGGCATGACCATGCTCCATAGAGGATGCTTTCTCCCTCTCTCTATTCCTTTCTTTTTGTCTCTCTGTCTCTGGCAAGTGCACGTGTCCCTAGGCAAAATTTTTTTTAAAGTAAGAGTATATTTGGGTTTTTTAAAAAAGAAATCTATGATAGCTTTTCCTTTTCCTTTTCTTTTCAAAAAATATTTGTTGTAGGCATGTGCATTCACCAGAGAGAGACAAAGAGAGGGTAGAAAAGTGAAAAGGCACTCCCCCCCCAGGGGATGGCCACACTGTAATCCCTTCTCCTCCAGTTTTCTCTCAGGACTCTGGGCACATGTACACATGCATCTGGCTTGTTTTTCTTTTTTTTTTATCTCTTTTTTTCTTATTTTTCAAGAGGTTTTTGCCTAAGGGCGCATGTGCTCACTGGAGAGACAGAAAAAGACACAGATAGTGAGAGGGAAAGTGAGAAATCACTCCCCAGGGGGATGGGCAGGCTGCATTCTCCATTCTCCTGGAATCTTGGATGTGCACGCACATGTGCCCAGCATGAGTCTCAAGTCGCTGGGTTTGGAACTTGAACCATGGTCCGACATGTGGGAGTTCAGGAACATAACCACCATGCCATCTGAAGGCCTCCCTTTTTAAAATTATTTATTTATTTATTTATTATTTTATATATATATATATATATATGAACTTGAACTGTGCAGTTGACCGCATGGTATCTAGCCACCTTAATCAACACACCAGCTGGCCCTAGTTTTTTCATAATGTGCATTTTCTGTGAACTTTTTGAAGATCCCTTCATATGTCCTATAGTTTTATCCTTGAGGATGTAACTTCATACACACATGAAAACAATAGGTGTTTTCAATATTCATGCAGAATATTCATGCAGCATTTCCAGAGAAAATCTTAGAAAGAAGTAGAAGACCAGGTGCATGAATTATGGCAATTACGCAACATGTAAGGATTTTGTGGCTGTACTTTGCACCCTTGACATCTGTATACACATATAAAACTTGATAAAAATGACCAAGATTGTAATCATATTGATCCCAGAAATATGAATTCCTAGAAAAAAAAAGAAAATCTATTTTTAAGAATACAGGCTCAAACCCAGTTGGGCTCTTTGGAACTCACCATAGACGTGCAGGGTGAATGCCTCGTTAATGGTGACGTTAGAATTCTTTTGGTTTATCTGGGCTTTGTAGGGTCCTGCATCTGTCAGGGCCAGGTTGCTGATGCACAGGGAGTAGCTCGAGCCCATAACACTTAGTCGGCCCTGGTAGCTTTTGGCCATAATAATTACATCTCCGTTGGGCCTCACAAAAGCCAGAGCATTTTGGTCACTAATCCAGGTGACATGCTCAATCTCTGGGTCTCCTGAGATATTTAAGGAGAAAGTCACAGAACCCCCTAGGAGTCCTGATACCACTTTTGAAGATGAATTTTCTCCAGAGGCTCCTAGACCTGCAAAGACAGAAGAGGGATTTGAAGGAAAGGTTTGTTTCCTCAAGACAGTCTTCATTCATTTATTCACTCAACACACTTGCATTGGGCATAACTGCCAGCTGCTAAGAAATGAAATGAGATTCCTGCCCTGCTCTGGCCTATTGCCTAGCAGTAATTCACTATTAATTCATTCATCCATTCATTCATCCAACACTGTCCCATGAAAGTAGCTATAATAATCAGTAACATCGGGCCAGCAGGTGTCATGGTGATTAAGGGTACTGGACTCCCACATGGCCAACTGCGGTTCAAGTCCAGGACTTGGTGGTCTGCGTTCTCACTTTCCCTCTCTCTCTTTCTGTTTCTTTCTGATCAAATTAAAATAATAATAATAACAATAATAATAATAAAATTAAATGAAATTATTTTTTAAATTAAAAAAATCAGTAACACAGATGTTTTAACAAGATAATTAGCCTTGTGACTCTGAGTAAATTTCTAATTTTTCTGAGAATCAGATACTTATCTATATTGAAATATTCACACCTGCACCCTCTTCCGCAAGGGATGTGGTTGAAGTTAAATAAAAACAAGTTGTGGGGCTAGATAGTGGCACAGTGGCTAACATGACACTTTGTGAGCCTGATTTATATGACAGGCTCTGGATTTGCACCTTGAGACATCCCTGAGTTTGCCAAATGGCCAAGTGTCCATGATCCAGAGCTGGCTAGGCTGGGGGTGGACTGCAGCATCGAGATGCAGTTGTGAGTGCTATCTATCTGTCTGTCTCATTTCATGGAATAGATAAACTTTAAAATAAAAAATCAAGTTGCTATAAATTGTAAAGAATTTGTGAAATAGAAAGGAGAATCTTTTTAAAAATAGGATGAAGGACCAGGAACTCTAAAAACTGATGCATAGGAAAGGTATTGAATTTATATTCCAGAACTTTCTTAAACACTCCAGGTTCTCCTCCGTGAGTATTCCAGGACCTTCCTAAACACTCCAGGTTCTCTTCTGTGAGGTGGGCCAACTAAGACTACATGGATTGTGATGTGAAGACTCCATTGGGAGTGCCTGTCTTTCTATCTGTCTCTCTCTCTCTCTTAAAAGAAATAAACTTCAAAAAACGTGCCAGAGGGCGGTGCACTGGTAAAGTGCAATGCTCTGCAAAGCAATCTCACGTAGGATGGTTCTTGGTTCAAGTCTAGAGACCTCTCCAAGTAAGCCAGGCAACCATGATCTGGTAGTGCCCATGATTCAGGGTTGGCTGAGGCTAGAGGTGAACTGTGGCATCAAGATCTTGTTGAAGGAGTTGTCTTTCTCTCTCTGTCTCTCATGCAAGGAAGAAATCAATAAATAAAAAAATTAATTCAGATGAATGGGTGGATGGCTAGAGGGATGGATGGATGGACAGGGAGTGACAAAGCAAGTAAAATAAAACATTGATGGTTGAAACTAAGCAGGAGGTTTATGAGTGCTCACCATAGAATTCTTTCAACTCTTCTGAGTTTGAGAATTTCTGTCACGAAATGTTTGGAACTAAAGAAGCCTATCTCAACTCTGTCTCACCCCACTGTCTACCTCATTGTCCATGGGGATCTCAGACTGACTGTGCATTGACCAGGTTTGGGGATGGGATAAGTTGTCAGCTCCCGATTTTCTTATCTCAGGCAAGACCCAAATTCTGCATAAACCTTGTTACCAAGAATTCTGGGACCCAACATTTAGCCAGAGTAGCTACATTTCTTAAAGAAAACCCGCTTGGATTTCCAGGTTCCAAGGCTTCTGAAGTTCTGGGAGATTCTCTGGAAATTCTAGACCAAATCAGATGATGTTAGGACCCAATTATTCCAGAATTTCTAGATGGAAGATAAGAAAATGTTCAAGAGGTACATATGTTCAGCCTGGAAGTGTGGAAGAAGGCTGAAGTGAGTTCTGAAAATGCAGAGGTCAGAGTGTGAGACACAGCAGAGGAACCTTTACCAGTGCAGGTCATGGAGGTTCTCTGCCCAGACCCACATCTGTCGAGCACCTGGACATTGTCAAGAGGTAGATAGGGAGGACACAAGGCTAGGATCCCCAGATGTGAGAGGGTCAGTTCAGGTAGATTTGAGGGGCAGATTAAGAAGGTAAAAGCTGAGTTGGCATGAGGCTGCTTTGAGGTTGCCTGGAAGAGAACTCTTCCCACCTGGAAGGCCCTGCTGAGGATTTCTGTGTGTGTATTAGGCATTTTCTGTAAATAATCTCATTTAATCCTCAAAATTACCTTACAACTGCACCCCTTTTACAGATGAGGAGCTGAAATTTGGAGTTTAAACCACTTGCCCAAGGTGAAAAGGTTGACCAGTTGCAGAATCTAGATTCTAGGAATATGGCATCCTCTGGAGAGTGGAGACTGGGAGCACTAACCATCCCTGTCATGGAAGCCCAGGAGATGATGGAACTTGGTTAGGTACATAGATCTGTTTTACAAACAAAGCTTCACCAACTGTCAGTGGGGGCAGCAGGATATGGGCCCCACCGGTCAAATCCTGCTGCAGCAAACAGTGCTATGTCACTCCCAGAATAGAGACAGGCTCCCTGGGACCAACCATTTAATTTTGAACTATACCATTTGACAAATGTTAAAAAGAGAGCTCAAAGATTGTAATAACTGGATTCAGGAACCAACAGATGGTATAATAGTTATGATGGTGGATTCCCATGTAGTTGACCATGGTTTGAGTCCTGAAAATGGTGGCTTAAACTCACACCAAGCACATGTGCATGTGTGCCCAAAAACCTCAAGAGAAGAATGGAGGAGAAGGGATTGCAGCATGGCCATCCCCCCTGGGGGATTATTTAGCTTTCTGTCTCTATCTGTCTCTCCGGTGAGCGCACACGCCCTTTAGCAAAACTTTCTCTCAAAAATAAATTAAATTAAATAATAATAACTGGATTAAACTTACCCATCCCTAAAGTTTCCGAAAAATGCACATAACAGTAATTATTAAAATAGCAGTCATAGCTTCTACTATGTATCAAGCACTTCACATCCATCATCTCTAATCTTATGAAAGTCTTGCATGACCCATTTTACTAACTGCATTCTACACTTAAAAAATAGAGAGTCACACAGCTAATAAATGATAGAGCAAGGATTTAATTTAGAATATTCCTAATACTAAAGTGGAGGGGGAAACCTCTTAACCCTATTGTCTTCTAAGTTCTTGAAGTAACTCCATGGAGACACAAAAGCCTTATCCTTTGATGAAACTGAGAGTTTTGAGGTCACCTCTGGCTCTCTTTTGCGCCAGACCAAAGGAGATACCCCTTTGCCATGAACTGTTTGAAATTTACTGCATTGATCATTTGAGGTCTGGATGATGTTGGATGTAGCTTATTTCAGATTTACACAATACAACCAAGGAACACCCTGAGGCTGGATGGATCTGGTGAGCGTTTTTTGTGTGGTGAGCAAGGATGACATTGAAATGAGCAGAGGTCAGTCCAGACATCTAGGCTCCCCATGTACCCATGCATTCCTAGGAGGTTTTTTAGTATTCCCCTTGCATTCCTTCCCGTTTCCTGTTCTCAGGTCTCCAGGGTTATCTGTACCATCCTCCCTGAGACCCTGAGGAAGCAAGATCAGAGAGACAGTAGTAGGACCAGCAGTTAGTGTAATCGCTATGTCGCTGGACTCCCACGTAGTCAGACTGCAGTTCGAGTCTCGACCCGGTGGCTTAAACTCACGCCAGGCACGTGTCCGTACGTGCCCAAGATCCCAAGAGGAGAAGGGATTGCGGCGTGGCCATCCCCCCTGGGGGGTGATTTCTCGCTTTCTATCTCTCTGTCTCTCTGTCTGGTGAGTGCACGTACCCTATAGCAAAAACCTCAAAAAAAAAAAAAAAAAAAAAAGAAAAAGAAAAGAAAGAAAAGAGGCAGTAGTTGCCACAGTCCCAAGTGTTTCAGATCCTCCCAGGGGTACTAGGTTACCTCTGCCCGCTGGACCTTGGGGGTCTGGGTCATGCAGCTGGGAGATGTTTCCCAGAAACTAGCAGGAGTTGGGGAGGAGGATATTGATGGGAGGACGAATGTTGGGGAGTAAATGATCCAGATAGAGGCCACCTTGCCCAGGGCCACTTCATCACCTCCATAGCTCCAGTATACCAGCAGTCCAGGATGTGTGTTAAACAAGGAAGGTGCAGAAAGAAGCTCCAGCACCTCTCTTCCGCTCTAGGAAATTTCTGGATGGCTTGTCATCAGGCGTATTTTCCTAAATCTTTCTGTAGATTTTACCCATAGTACACAGGGAACAAACCCATAACTTGGCATTTATAGTAGAAAATGTGAGGATGAGAGGAACATATTACGAGCACAGAATTATCTGAGATGGGGTTAGAATTCATGCACCCTGAGGTGCATGAATATACTCGCTCACACACAATAAAATGAAAATGAAACCTTCAGAGTAATTACTGAAAGGAGGAGTTTCCTGAGTTATAAACAAGAATCCCCGAGCATGGAACGTGACCGACCTCAGAGGAACTCTAGTAGCATGGTGACCATAACATGAACTTACCCATGAGAAGGAAGAGGAGAGGGGTCCATGGAAAGGGAGAGATTATTTGCTGCAGACTTTTCGGTGCCTTACGGGAGAAAAGCCCCAGAGCCCAGTCATCTGTAGGACTCTTTGCGCCCGCCATGATGGTCTATTTTCTGATCTCGGGCTGAAGGAGGAAGCACTTACCACAGCTTCCGTGTATGAGAGTGTCGTGTGTGTCCAGGGGAGGACCAACTGTGCCCAGCATCATAGGCTCCTCCCACCTGCTCAGGCTGGTTAGAGGTCTCAAAAGTATTCAGGGCCTTCACGGGAGTTGCAACATCAGTTGCTTTAGCATCAGTGAATTTGGGTTATAAACTCGGCCCCTAAAGAGGACTGCTAAAGATCGCCATCTCCTGGCATCCATGTCCTGGTGTAGTCCCTGCTTCTTGAGTGTGAGCTAGATTTAAGGACATGCTTTAATGAACAGAAAATGACAGAGGTGAGATGTCACTTCTGAAATTAGATTACCAAAGGCCGTGGCTTCTATCTCGGGCTCCTACTCTCTCTATCACTCTCTTTTCTCCCTCTAGCTCACTTTGTAGGGAGTTGGTTTCATGTTGTGAGCTACCATATGAAGAAGGCTCTAGGATAAGAAACTGAGGGATGATGCCAGCCAACATCCAGTGTCCAGAGATGAACTTATTTCTCTGCCCAACAGCTGAAAGGGTCGCCAAAAATTACATGAGTGAGATTGGGAGTGAATCCTCCCCAGAAGGTCTTGAGGTGAATATGGCCCCAGTAGACACCTTGACTATAGCTTTGTGAGAGGCCCTAGGCCAGAGGCATCCACCTAAGCCATAGCTAGATCTTGGATTCACAGGAATTGTGAGATAATGAATGCTTGAAGTAATGTGTTGCATAGCAATAGATAACTAATAAAATGGCCCAGTAAGTGTTTCATTTTACTCAGGCTGGTTTGTTCTGGCTTCCTGCCATATACAACTGAAAGACGTTTAACTCATGGATAATAATGTTCCAGGGAAACTAAACCAGGGGGCCAATGTTGCAAGTGACAGTATAGAACTGAGGAGCTAAGGCAGCCTGGAGGACAGCAGAATTCCTTTTATCCTATTTGGGAAATTGACTTATTGTGCTTCTTCTCTTTCTTCGTTTCTTTTACTCTTCCCCTCTCCTTACCCTTCAGAACTGTGAGATATTAAATTCCTATTACTTACGAATTACCCAGTATAAAGTATTTTTGTTTAATAGTCTGAATGGGATATTTTACTTGTGGTTCTATTTTAAATTGTGTAATTGAGTAATTGATTTACAATTGTAATTTTTTTTGAGAGGTTTTTGCCATGGGGCACGTGTGCTTGCCAGACAGAGAGAGACAGAGAGACAGAAAGCGAGAAATCACCCCCCCCCGGGGGGATGGCCACACCGCAATTCCTTCTCCTCCATTCTTCTCTTGGGATTTTGGGCATGCACGCACACGTGCCCAGCATGAGTTTTTTAAGCCACCAGGTCCAGGACTCAAACCGCGGTCGACTACATGGGAGTCCAGCAACATAGTCATTACACTAACTGCTGGTTCCTACATTTGTAATTTTTGTTGTAAATCTCTCCATTTATGTAAAGCATTGGATATTTTAAGACAATCTAGAAATGATCATACTTTCATGCTTAATTAATGTATTAGAGTTATAAGCTTTCTCTAAGTATTTTGGGAAGGTTTATTTGTTGATTAAAAATACTTTAAAATGAAATTAACTATACAGTAATGAACCAGCGAGGTGGCCCAATGGTAACACACTGCCCAAGTAATGCTGAATCCATATGGAAGATCACCAGTTTAGTTCCCCAGTTGCCCTGTATCTGCCAGCACATGTGCCCATGATTCCGACTGTCTGGGAAAATTATGGTAAGTGTTTGCTGTATCATAAGTGTAAGACCCTATTGAAGTACTTGCGTGTGGGTATATGTCTCTCTCTCTCACTGTCATGAAAAATATAAATGAGGTTTAAAAATATATTACATTTATGTAGTGAGGATTAAAGTATTTAAGTGAATTAGTTTTAAGTTTGTCAAATACAATCAATAGGCCCTACAAAATGGTAGTTACAATTTGTCCAGTTCATAAACATAATAATACAACCTGTAAGCCAAACTGAAATTAATTAAGGTTAACCTAGATTTGTAATTGTTTAGTTAATAAATTTAATATAACCTCTCCCCTTTTTTATTGCCAGAGGGTACATGCATTCACCAGTGAGAATGAGAGAACAAGGAAGGAACCTCCAACAGAGACTGGTCAGACTGTAATCCTTCTTCCTTCATTCTTCCCTTTCACTGGGATTTTGGGCATGCACTCACATGTGCTTAGAGTGTTTTTGTTTTTCTTCTTTTTTTTGAGAGGTTTTTGTTATAGGGCGCGTGCACTCGCCAGAAAGACAGAGAGAGACAGAAAGTGAGAAATCACCCCTCCAGGGGGGATGGCCACACCGCAATCCCTTCTCCTCCATTCTCCTCTCAGGATCTTGGGCACGCACGCACACATGCCCGGCATGAGTTTAAGCCACCAGGTCCGGGACTTGAACTGTGGTCGACTACGTGGGAGTCCAGCGACATAGCCATTACGTCAACTGCTGGTCCCTTCATGCCTGGAGTATTTTTCAAGTCACTAGAGCTGGGATTTGAATTTCCGTCCGTCACATGGGAATTAGCTCCCTTAACTGTTGTGCTCAGGCCTGGCCGTGAATATAAACTCTTTTTTTAAAAAAGAAGTATTTATTGAAATTTATTTATTTATTTTAATTTGACCAGAGAGGGACAGAGTAGGATAGAAAGAGAGAGAGTGAGAGAGTGAGAAAGCAAGCTGCCAAGTCCGGAACTTGAACCACAGTCATCCATGTGGGAGTCCAACACCCCTAACAACCATGACATCTGCTGCTCCCCTGAATATAAACTCTTAAATGTAGCCACTTTAGAAAATAAATGATAATGGCAAGTTCTTATTGACTGGTTTGCTCAGGCCACACAGCTAACAAGCAGTGGAGGCAGGATTCAAATCAGAAAATTTTTCACCTCCCATTGCACCCAGCCAGAAGGTAATTTTCTCTTGAAAGTCAAGCTCACAACCAAAGGAAAAAGTTTTCATGTTGAAAGAAAAGGCTGAGCCCAACTCTGATGTTTGAATTTGCTGCTAGCTTTGGGTGGTTCAAACAATTCAGCATTCATTACATAATGTGAAAGTGAGTGGACAGTCTGCATGCACATGACTTGTGAAGGCAGCTGATGAATTTTTGGAAACGCTAGGTAATATGATTGTGGATGTTTGCATGAAGACAAAATTGCTTAATGATGCATTTATCAGAATGTGTCCTTATCATTAAGCAATGCATGAAAATACAGTATTTTCCATCTGAGGTTGGTTGAATCTCATTCAGAAACTGTGGATACTGAAGGCTGACTGGACTACAATGTTATATAAGGGACTTGAGCATCTGTGAATTTAAGTATCAGTAGAGAGTCTTAAACAAATCCCTCAGATGCTGAGAGAGAGAGAGAGAGAGAGAGAGAGAGAGAGAGATTATTATAGAAAATGGCTGAGACTCAGAGGGCTGATGGTGGAAGGTTCTGATCCACACGAAAGGCCCATGAATCATGGGAGCTGATGTTCAGGGCAGAAGAGGGATGTTCTAGCACCATCCTAGCCTGGGGCTTCAGGGAAGCCTACTCCAGGGTGGCTGATAAATGATGAGAGGATGTTAGGGGGTGGTAAGTGAGGCAGGAGGCTGGATCCCACATGACAGACTCTACATTTCTAATCCCAAACCTGGTGGCAAGGAAAATATGACAGGTGTGTGTGCCTGTGTGTGCATGCTCAAAATCCTGAGAGGAAAATGGAGGAGGAGGAATTACAGCATGGCTATTTCCCCTCGGAGATGGTTTCTCATTTTCCCCCTCTCTCTCCAGTGAGCATACACACTCTATGGCAAACATTAAAAAAAGGAAAAAAAAAAAAAAAGAAAGGAAAATAGAAATCCAAGGTGTTAGATATTGTGGTAGAAAATCTGGCCAGGGTGTAAGCTGAGCATGGAGAACTTTGTCTACTAGGATTTTGACACTGGAATTCAGCCTTGTAGGGACCAGATCTCTGAGGGGTTCAGACTAAGGCCATCATATCGTTGACTCTGGTGTGGAAATAGCTCATTCTGGCACTTCTCTTTTATAGCCCATTTTTGTATCTTGTGACTGAAAACTACATGTGATTTAAGTGGTGACTCTAAAACAGGAAATGTATGTGGGCTCATATTTACATATACACAGTCTTTTGGCTACAGAGAGGCAGGTTAGATTGTTGCAGTATATATGTGTGTATATATATATATATATCTATATCTATCTATCTATATATATATAGATAGATATAGATATATATATATATGTAAAATATTACGGGCCATTCTTACCATGATCTTTGCTCCTTCTTGACTTTTTTCATGGGTAAGTCCCCCTCTTCCACTACCTCCCTGACTCTTACCTGCCCTGCATGCTGACTTACTCTAGAAATGATCACTCTTCATCAAAGATATCACTTCTAAGGGAGCTAGGCTCTGGGGTGTGTGTGTGTGTGTGTGTGTGTGTGTGTGTGTGTGTATATGCGTGTGGGCATGCACACGTGTGCACACATGTCCTGCAATCTCGGGCCTCAGGTCCAGCCTGGGTCTTTGTCAACTCAGGTTTCTTCTACTACTGAGCCAAGGAGCCTGGACATTTCCAGAGCGGCCGTGTTGAGGGAGTGAGATACAGGATCAGCCACAGCCCGCTGCAGAACTCACCTGGCATCTTGCCATTTGGAGCAGTGTCCTGAGATTCAGCGTTTTAGCGCCCATAGGGATGTGGTACCCTGAGCTTTATGCTGTGTATCCAGTCCTCTTGTGTCTCTTTTCCCTTCTTTCCTCTCTCTCCAGCCCCTGAGATTCTGCCTTCATCATGAATTGGGCCTTCCATGTCCCCTAAATTACTTCAGTACAGAATTTCAAGCCTGGCATGTAGTAGTGGTTTCTGTCTCTTCGGGTTCTTCTTTATTCATTGTTACGTTTAAGTTTATTTTATTTCTTGAGAGAGACAGAGAGAAAGCCACCTTCAGCAAGGTCCTGTTATGCTGCAGTCCCTTCC